TGAAATGACATCATTCATTAATGAAGGTATATATTTAGGTAATATGGAATCAGCATCAAATTTACAAAAGTTGAAAAATGCAAATATTACAAATATTTTAAACTGTGCCGGTGAAAAATGTTCAAATTATTTTCCTCAACAATTCAAATATAAAACTTTAATCATTAGAGATATACCAGATGAGGATATTTCTTGTCTCTTCTCACTAATTTTAGATTATTTTATAAAGGTTATTTTAAACAGGAATGGTGTCGTATTTGTTCACTGCTATAGAGGAGTATCAAGAAGCTCAGCATTCGTTATTCTTTGGCTAATGTGGAAAAATAAATGGTCATATCAAAAAGCATTTGAGCACATAATAGAAAAGCGTAGCGTTGCAAGTCCAAATATTGGTTTCGAATTTCAACTTAGAAGATTTGAAAAGTTTTGTATACCACAAATTCCACCTCCATTACCAGCCCATAATAGCAATACCAATTTAGCATTAATGAGACAGTTAATTATAAATGACAATAATAGTAATAATAATGAAAATGGTTCAAAAATATCACAACAAACAAAGCAATCACCATTACTCTTCAAAATGATAAAAAGAGCCGATTCAATTATAATCCCCCAACCAGTCATTCCAATTATCTCATCAGATTCATTAGATCACTCTACATGTTATATATTGCATTCCTCAGAATATATATTCGTTTGGATTGGTGTTAACAGTAGCTCAACATTTGAAAAACCAATAATTAATCATGTTAAAAAATATTTAAATAGGGAAAATAGATTTAAAAAAGTAGAAAATCAAAATAATACAAATTTCATAGAAATTAGAAATAGTTTAAATTATAATAATAATATAAATAATGATTTTCTAAATTTTAAAAAAATTTTAGATACAACTTTGTAATATAGATAAAATAATTTTAATAAATAATAATAAAAAATAGTAAATTTTTTATTTATGTATAGTACGAAAAAACAAATAAAAGAAATGGGGTATCCTATTAATAGAAATTATAATTTTTTTAAAATATTATTTTTATAATTTTCTTTCACCCACTACATTTTATTTTCTATATTTAAATTTTATTTAAAGTCATTAACATATTTTTTAAAGTCTTTTTTAAATAACAATCAAACATTTTATTTATTTATAGCTATATTTTAACTTTGGTTATTTTTTTTGAAATTTTTTTCCCCCAAACACCCACTTAACACAACACACTCCAAATTTTAAATTTAAAAAAAATATTTATTAATTTATATATACTTTTTTATATTTAATTTCTTCCTCATTATAATATATACTCACACTCGACTCCCACACTTAATATTTATATAAATTTCTAACCATATTTAGTTCTGTTAAGCTATCACATTTGTTTTTTTTTTTTTTTATTAATTTTTAATAATTTTTTTTAATTATTATTTAACAAAACAAAAATATTTATTTTTTTAATTTTAAAATTTAAAAGTAGTAAACAAATAGAATATAGCAAGAATGAATCATAGTCTAAACAGTGACAATAGTAAATTAGCAAATATAGGCAATAGCAATTTTATAAATAACAATAGTTCAAACGATAGTTTAATAAACTTTGATCTATTTGATTCAAAGTTTTTAAAACTATTACCTTTTAATAAAAATTCAAAAATAACAATTCACCATTGCAAGCATTATTTAAACAATGTAAAGATTAGATTTATAGATGACCCGATTTCATACAAAACTTTTGAAATTATTTTAAAAGAGTATTTTTCAAATCCCCAAAATATTCATTATCAAGATGTATACAATGAGGTTGCATTATTATTTAATGATAACCATCAGGATTTATTAAATCAATTGGCTTATTTTTTACCATTTGAACAAGATTAACAATATGTAAGTTTTAATTAAATTAATATTAAAAAAAAAACAGATTTACTAAAAAAATAGTATATTTTACATTTATTATAGATAAAGAACTCAAAGCAATTTTGGAAACAAATAAAAACCCCTCTGTCTTCCTATTTTAGATTTTCTATATTTAGATGTTTCAAACCAAAAATAGATTTTCAGTTCTCTTTTCTTTGCTTGATTACTTGGATATTCAATTCTCATCAGTCAAAGTTGAAAGAACTTTTTCGAATGGTAAGAATAGTGTTCCCGATAAAACACAAAGTCTAAAAGACTCTTCCATTTTGTCAAGATTTCTTCTCAAAGATTCGTTACATTCAAGATTTTGTAAAAGATTTTCTTTTCAAAAAGAGGATAGAATACAAGAATAAAAATAATCATTTTTCTTTAAATAAATAAAAAACAATATTATGAATTTTTTTTAACAATTATTTTTTTTTTTTTTTAAAATTATTATCCTTTTATTATCTTTTTTATTTTACATTATCGATTATTATCTACCTTTACTATTTTTTTAAAAAAAAATTAGTTTTTGGATAAAATCTTCCAGCAATCCAAAAACGATAAACGATAATTTTTATTTATTTTTTATTTTTCTTTAATTAAATTATATAGTTGTTTGTGTATTATATAAATAATTTAATTTTTTTAATGAAATATTTTGATTGCTTCTATTGATTTGGGTGTAGGCGGTTGAGTAGTTGATAGATGATTTGGCTTTATAAAGACCAATTTAAAAACTATAATTGCATATACAAGAGCCCCAATGTTTGATTTGTAACTTTAAATATGTTGATACCCTGAAAAGAAAGAATTAACAAGAACCCCAATGATTAATTTGTGACTTAATATGTGTTAATATCGAAAAGAAAGAACCCCAATGATTAATTTGTGACTTAATATGTGTTGATACCGAAAAAGAAAGAACCCCAATGTTTGATATGTGACTTATTATGTGTTGATAAATACACATTCTTTGTACTCTTTCTATTTCTTTCAATCTTTCCATTTGTTCTAATTTTTTCTTTTCTTCTCTTTCTTTATCAATTCTTAATCTTTCCATTTCAATAATTTGTTTTTCATATTCTTCATGTTTGGTTTTTTGTTTTTTGGAAAGTTCTCTATCACTTTTTGTTGTTTCATTTTCAAATTCCAATGGTCTCTTCTTCATTGGACTTTTGCAGGTTGGATAGACAGATAATTTGGTTGATTGAGAGGTGGCTGGAGCAAATTTGGATGGAATAGATGATTCTTTTGGTGGATTTGGGATATTATTTAATTGGGAAGAATTTGAATCAAATAATTTTGATTGTGGTTGATTGTGTGATTGGGGACATGTGTTATTAGATTGGAGTTGTGGTGATTGATCTTTTGGGGTTACATTTTGTGGGTGTTGTTGTTGTTGTTGTTGTTGGTGTGGGTGTTGGGTTACAAAGAATTTGAGCAGTTATAATATTGTTGGTTGGAATAGAAGGTTGAGTAAGAGTGTTTTTATTATTACTATTGTTGCAATTTATTATTGCTATTGTTAATGCTATTTTTATTACTATTGTTATTATTATTTTTGGAAAAATATTTATTAATAAAATAAAATAATGAGATGATAGAAACTAAAATGTAAAAAATATTTAATAAACTATTCATTTTTAATTGGTAATTAATAATGAGCTATATGATATATTATTATGTGAATTTTGATTTAGTGTAGGGTTTGGAAATTATTTAATAAATATAAAAAATTATTATTGCAATTATTAAAATTTATTATATGTGCCGAATATTAATATGAAAAAATAAAAATGTATGATTATTTGTATGTTTATAAAATAATAAAGAAAAAAAAAAAAAAAAAAAAAAACTTTTTCAAAATACATTGAAAGAAACTTAAAAAAAAGGTAAATTAAAAAATTTTAACCGGGGTTCAATTAAAAAGGAAAAAGGGGGGCCTTTTATTCATATTAAAATATTATATTTAAAATTTATTAATGGTTAATAAATGGTTAATAAATGGTAAATAAATGGTTGATTTATTTTTATTTTTTAATTTATTATAACCTTTGTTTAAAATTTTAAAAAAAATTATTTTTTTTAAATAAAAAAAAATTTAAATAAAAAAAAAAAAAAAAAAAAAGATAAATAATTATAAAATTGATTTAAAAAATAAAATAAGAAATTATAAAATTTTAAAAATATATTTTTAAAAATTAACGACATTGGTTCAAGTGCAAGTTTATAATAGAAAGAAAGCAATCATCAGCAACTATCAGCATTCGCTTGCTTATATAGATCCTTTCCCTTACGACTCATTTCTGCCATAAATGTAAAATATATTTAGTGATCATCTCAGAAATTTTATATCCAACAAGATTTTATAACACTTTTGTAACCAATCAATGTTATTTAAAAAACTAGGGAGTTCAAATTAATTAGAGGGTGGACCCATATTGAAATTGATTAAAAAATTCTTTCTCTATGGCTTATAATGGAGTGGAACAAAAAAAGTCGAATTAGTAGATCCTAGATATTCACAATATAAGATGGTTTTAAATAAATAATCAATCAGTTAATAACAATTCGAATAACCACAATCAATTCTATAATAATAAAATTTTACTTCAATTAATCAACGATCAATTATAATAAAGAAATAAAAAATAATAATCAATTAAAAGAATTAAATGTTCGATTATTATCAGCCCTCAGTTTATTTCATTTAATTTATATATATATATATGAGTTATTTTTTAATTATAAGAATATATATTAAATATCTATTATAAATATAATAGTTTTTAAAAAAAGATTTAACATATTTTAACTTTTATTTGATAATTTTATTATTCCTTTTATTTTATAGTATATATTTTTTATAAAACGATTGGGTGAATGATATAATTATCCAAGGTTTATCTTTCTAAATAGACTTGTCACATCACTGATGTATTGAAATCTGAATATTAACAAGTTATAATTCTAATGCTTGTCTCCGTTTGTGCTCCGAATTACTCTTTTATTAGATT